GCCCCTGACTATCACACAGGACTTTCTTTGCACACTGACAAAGATAAATTTTTCAGTGGTTGTCTAAAAGCTTGGCCTGAAAGTTTTGGTAGAAAATTTGTCTATGCACAGTGTGTTTTACTGCACAGAGGCTATGATGACATCTGTTGACTATGCAACAGCTGCCCTCAAGGAAGACTAAGAAAAAACTACACCCATGATTCAAAGGCTAATCATTTTTATTGATGACTTTCAATAGAGAATGGGAGCTTTTTTGCTAACAAAAATGAAACTTACAATGAATTTACTGAAATGTTTTTCTGCCAATTAAATTACATTCTACACATCCATTCCACCTTAAAAAAAGTACATAAATTTTAACTTCACATGTCAGACTGGTTTTCACAAATGTGTAAGCATTAGCCAACATGTGAAGGCAGATGCGGTATGACGTTGATATTAGTACCTTTTGTTTGAGCAATTTCCTAGCAAAAGGCTTTTCTAACAGCATCTTAATACATGTGCACATGCAAGCTAGGGTGAAATTGCTGTCAACATGTCAAAATAAATGAGGACTTCATTCTTGAAACTGAGTGTCTAGTAGTTGTTTCATGACAGCAATCTTACATGAACAAGTAGATTAGTCCAATAGGAACTTCTTTAATAACCAGATTTTTTCACTGGTTTGTTCTGTCCCTTGATCTGTAAGTAACCCCTCTTGCCTTTAGTTCACGCACCACATGACTTGGTAGTTTACCGCTCACAGAAATGGCATAGCAACCTCTTGCTTGTGTATCTAATAATAAACAAAGAACCAGTCGCATATTGTCAAAGGGATGTTCCAAAGTAATTCTCAGACAACAATATTCACAGGTGTCTTGCACTCCTACAGGTAAAACAATAATAGCCTACTACACAATGAACTGTTAATCAGAACCAGTGATTTCCCTTCGGCTTGATTTAAGACCCCCATCTTGAGGTTGCATTGCTGCTATCTTTTATCCAAGAGCCTTGGCAGACTACATTAATTGCTGAGATCTATTTAGCCATATTGAGAAGTATTAGTGCTTAATAGGGTTTTTCATCATAGAGAGACTACCTACTAGTAGTTAAACTATTCATTATGATACATGTCAGAGTGCAAGTTTAGTTGCAGACCCTGCTTGCAATAAACACCAGTGACCTGTCATTTGCATGTCGTTGTTTGTATGAAAAAATGACTGATGATCAAATGCTCCAACTGCTTGACAACAATGAGGACCCTAAGTTTCAACCCTGCCCCCCCCCCCAAAAAAGTCCTAACTAATACTGTATCTTGCATCCCAAAAAGTGAAACATAAAATTTCCATAAAAAGTCCTCCAATCTCACAGCACACTTATGACGGAAAGGGAGCCGTTGACAGGATCAAAATTTGTCCAAATAATAGGCTTCCCCTATTAGTAGTGACACTGGTGGAAACTAAAAATAACATGAGACTGATTAAACACCAACAAGTGATGAGAAATGGTGATGTCAACAATCACATTGTTGAACTTTGTTCACATTCAAACCACAAAATTGACCAGGACTGTGCTCAAGGCTTAACAATAGCTAACAATAGACTGAGCAAATTGTACTAACTGAACAATCACTTTTGACAAACTCTATACAGGTCTTACAGCCAATAACATCAATGCAAAACAGACCAGTCAGTTTCAACAGACGTGACTTTAACACCAATGGCAAACACTTGATAGTGAAAACGACCTCTTCCCAGGTTTTTGAAACGTCAGTACAAAAGTTGCCAACAGTTTTTTCCAGACACTTACCCAGATGATCACACTGTACTATAATATTAGGTGATCTGGCTTACCAATTCTTTGCCACCTGGCCACCCAGCTGTCCTCAGGAGTCATGAGTGATATTATTCTGGTGTAATTGCATAAAAGGAGGAAAGAAAACTACCAGTCAGCAGTGGCACTGAACCTCTACTTTGAGTTTCATTCCCCTAGGAGTGAGGTTGCATCATAAACACTACCTCTATTGTTTGAAAACTACCTCTAGAGGGAGAACAAGAAATGCTGCTGGAACATGAGACAAACAAGTTCTCCCAGACTTTCACAAGTGTTTCTACAACTCCATAGAAACATGATGAAAATATTTTCTATCCTTTTAATTCGAAAACAGCCCAAAGAAAATCATGAACAACATGATTATAACAACTTTTCTGTGTTTCTATTGAGTTACAGAAATACTGTTTTCAACCAATCAGTGTGCATTTTTTCTTTGGAATTGGGCTATTTTGCAAGACCAGTTATTAATTTTCTTTATAACCAATGAATTAGCCTGTTCTGAGAGGCAATACACAGTGAATGTACCTCATTTACATGGTGTCTACTACTTTAAGTTCTCATAACATTTTTTTTTTACTTTTCACAGACTTGAATCTACACATAACCCAAAGGACTTAGAACTGCAAAAATATTTTTGATTTGAACAAGACTTTACTAACATGGCCAATTTTCAACTGAATTTTGATCATAGTTTTGTAGTACTAGGGCTGGAACACTAAGTCACATACAACTTCAGGGCAATTTGATGTAATACATCAAACACAAGAGACAGTGTTTCATCAGCATATCCAAACATTGAGAAGAGAGTTGAAAATATGATGTGCAGAGGAGTATTTTTGGCGAAATTCGAGGTGTTTGGACAGCCAATGAAACACTGTCTCCATGGTTGATATATCCTCTAATCAAAACAAAAACTAGGGAGTAAACGAAGAAGTGAAATCATCAAAATCTATGCTAATTAAGACCAGGTATCCAGACCTCCTTCATGGTTGTGATTTTCTTTGTTTTAACTTGATGAATTATTAATGAGTTTGAAAATGTGATTTCAGCCTGAGATTCTCAGAGATTTTGAACTCAGATGGCTGTACACTGTATATGCTCTGACAGAGAAACCTATGATCCTTAATTTTTGTAGGAATTCTACCAATGTCTCACTCAAATCATGTAGAAAGTTCAGCTCTCTCCAGCTCCATAGATGTTTCAGGAGCTTTTCTTAGCAAGGATGTGGAATGCACTTTGGTCAAACAAAATATTTCTGGGGTGAAATAATTTCCTATCCAGTGGAACTTAGAAATGCAAAAAAAAAAACCCTGTTGGGGAAATGTCTTTTAATCATCCATTACTACTAGTTAACACTCTATAAATCAAGTTGCCACTTTAGACAGACAGTAACTTACCCATCAAAGTTTGCACTAGTACAGGTTAGAATGTTTTCTTTGTTGTTCTTTAGTCTGAGAAACTTCTCGCAATTTTCACAACCATCATATTCAAATTGCTCAAGAGTCTACAAATTAATAGGGACAAATCAATAATCATGAAATCAAGCAATGGCCGTTACCCATCAAAACAATATAAATTGGTAGCAAATATATCATTTCACCTACAGTAATTCAAATCTCACTCGCCAGTACTGCCTGAAAATATCACAAACCCAGCATAGTCAATAGACAAAACTCAATGAAAATCAATCAAACTCAACTGACTCCAATCGTTTGATTGATTGCCGATTGGTTTGATAATTGAATGTAATCGAACTGGACACTATTTGGATAAGTTTGATTTTCAAACCCAGGGGTTTGATTACTAAACCAAATGGAAAAATTGAACCAATCAAACCAATCAGTTGAACCAATCTTAAAAAACCAGTAAAAAAATTGCTAAGCACTGCAGTCTTATCTGAATTGAGTCATAAACTGAGAGATTTCCCTGTGAAAACTATATATGCGACCCAAGTGTAAAGAATACTTCAACACATTTCAATATAGTCAAGTGGGATAATATTGACTGGGGATATTCTCTTACTAGCTAAACTGAGGCCCATTAGCACAGGCAATTTTTGATGTGACTTCAAGCTTATACAAACTTAGTTGACCTTAATGTCCTGTTTGAAACTGACTGAAACTGGCTAGGAATGTCACAAGTATTGATCAATCTACAGTTCAATTATGTTTGACTGCCAAACCTAATCCAAATCAATTGAACGATTGGAGTTTGATTGAACAATTTTCAAACATTCAATTGTGTTTGATTGGCAAAAAGTTTGGGTGAGTTTGATTCTGTTTGATCGCCAAACCCAATCAAAATCAATAAAATGATTGGAGTTTGATTGAGTTTGATTACTGAACGTTTGACTGACTACACCAGGTACAAAGCAACCTTTGGTTGCATTCTTCCACCTTTCTATGCAGTAAGAAATTTTCCTCCAAAGGGTAATGAAGGCAGCCATAATGATGTCATTGTCACATTCATCTTTCCATCGGATTACCATACAAACAGTGTAATTTATGACACCATTGCCTACCCTACCGAAGATGGCCTCCAAAACCATGATAAGGTCTATATTTTATCACATCGGACATCATGGAAAGCAAAACAGGCAGTGAATTTTCTTCTGTTTTTCTCTTTCGGGTACATTGGTTATAAGCTTGTTTGTTTTTCAGGAAAGTCAATCTGACCAATTTTTAAGTGGAGTGAAAAGACATAAATTTGTCGGCATAACCCCTACTTTTTTCGTGTTTAAATTTCTCGTCTATCCGAACTTGATATATTGTGAAAAAGGCTGTAAGATTTCATCGCAAGAAATTAAGGAAAATCATAATGAAAGTAAAATTTATAAACACTGAGAACCACATTTTCTTTGGTTTGGGCACAGCTAATTAATAGGTTATTTTAGCAAGATTTCCGCACACCCCCGTATATAGTTATGCCGTATATAGCTATACAGAAATCTAAGCATGTTTCCCATTCGCTAAAGTTTCCTACCTTCACCAATGAACAAAGTAGGCAAGCTCGAAGATTTCTTAACTCTTTTGGAACACTCTCCATGTTGAATTCCAAACCGTACTTGCCCCAGGACCTCACCGCAAAACTTTCTTGACCAAAGCGCGCAAGCGTGGTGATCGAAGAGATGACCTGAGTATCAGACTTAGGTATCATGGGTTATGAGCCATTATACCATGCTCCACAAATATTTTTTGAGCGTTTTCAGTTTTATTTTAGTTTTATTCCACTCGCGCTTGTTGGATATGAAATGATTATAGCCAAGTCGTCCCTACGTACCTCGTTGGCTACCTATCATCTCATATCCAAAAAGCGCTCGTGCCATGAATTTATAATTTATGCGATGTGGCAACGAGCGAGATCGGACAATTTGACAATTTGTTATAATTTGTAAAAAACAAATTATAAACGTCAGTTTTTCATTTCGTCGTAACATTGTCAAAGTGGTCTGCGGATCCACTCGGCTACATTCCCATACAAACTCTTATATTTACGCTGTTAAGCAATGTCATATAATAATGTTCACGACTGCCAAGGAGCTTGGGATACCTGTGATTCGATTCGCAAAAATTTGTTCCCGCAACCCTCAAAAAAAAAAAAATCGCCAAACCGCAAAATAAAAGTCCCGCAAAAATTTCATGCTATTGCGTGAAATTTCCAGAGAAAGTTTCCGGAAAATACGAGAATTGTTGAATTTCCAAACTGCAACCCTTTCAAAAACCTTCAAATGAAAATTGCGGGAACCAGGAGCTCCTGTGGGAGCAAATCCCGGTTAGAAATTTATGAAAATTTGGATATAACTCACAAGGGTTTTCTCCTAGGGATAAAATGTATCGCACCACACGCCAGCGGAAATGTCTGGTATTTAAATATGATTTGGAACCTTTGGCGGCGTACATTTTCCAATACGGACCAGTACGGAAACAAAGTAAACTGGAAAATGTGGGAAATTTCCGCATTTTCTGTCGAATGATCACTGCAGACTCCCTGTAGGGGACTCCCTGGCAGCAGACTCCGATTCGAAACCCGACGCGATGGTCTTCCGAAGGACAGCCGAAGCTGTGCTAAACCACGTGACTATTAGTGCGACTATTTGGCGCGAATCTTTGCATGCGTGATCGATTGACAAGAGTTTGGTCGCTTGCTCCGTTGGCCTGCACATCGTGTACACATTTTGTTTTGTGAAGTTTAAACCTGTAACATCAACTTTTGCGTCCATCCATGCGGATAAAAATATGAACCCAGTTTTATCGGCGGTAAGTTGTTTCATTTGATATGCAGCCGTGTTACGTAAGTGTACCATGCGGTTGTGTTCGTTCACCGTAAAGTCCTGAAATTGCTGAAAATAACGACTCCCTGTGGTAAATCTCGATAGTTGCGACCTTGCAAAACCAACGACCCTCCAAAGAAGTGACCTCAAAGCAATTTGAATTTGATTTTTTGGAAATAACTGAGGGGAAATACCGGGGGAAAACTTCCAAGGCACAGTTAGCTTACATCGATTGTATATTGTGCTGTCCAAAGGATAATTTAAGCCTAATTAATTTAAGCTTAAATGCTGTAAACTGTAATTTTCTCTAAAAAAAAAAGCCCGGAATGATTGTTATTATCACATTCTATGTGCCGATGATGTGCAAGGGTACATTTTACAAGTACCGTTTGAACAAGATACCTCGAGATCATGATAAGAGTTGCAGAAGGCATCAAGATCGAGACAATGTGTTTGTTGTTCCAGAAAATACCCAAACCCCTCCCATTCCTCCGGAAATTCCAATTTAGCTTCACACTTTTCTTTAAAAAATTTGGCATTTGAATCCCCTTTTTCTCTCCAAAATTCTAATAACCTTTCTTGGAAGGGGAAATGTATATTTTCTGAAAATTGGATAAGAAAAGGATTTCTCTTTCATGCATGAGACACTTTTCCTTAAATAACTAAAAGAAGATGAGAAAGAAAGTAGTTATGGTTTGTGCAGATTGAATTTAATGGTTAACACTTTTTTCCCATTTGTTTCTGCACATCCTTACTGCGCATGCCAATTAAGACACCACGTCATGCTTCGAGTGTGCGCTGAGTAATAAAATGAACAATAATAGGGCAGATGGCCATTGCTATAGCTTTGCCTAAATTTAACGATCTTGGACGTTTGGTGACCCCTATTTTTCTTTTGATGGATCATTTTCTCTATGTATTTTCTATGTCTAGCAAAAAAATGAAGAAAATCTATCAATTAGAAGTTTGAATTTTTTGCAAAATGCACCATCAAATTCTGTTCTTTTCAACTATTTTGTTTATCTGTGCAGCAGTTTGAAATGCTTCTTGCAGGGTTAAGTTTTGTGAAAATGTAGGCAACATTTGGAATTATTAACACAACTGGTGCACTTACACAAAATGTTACTACGATAGTTTATTTCTGCCCTGGAGACCATGCTGATATACATGCCCCAATTTTTCAAAATAGCCTAAAGCTTTATGTATTGTTTGGCCCCTTTCGTTTGCGCACCTGCCACCTGGTGCTGGTTTTCTTATCACTGGCAAAATAACTGAGGCTTTCAAAGATCGTGTGTTCAAATTTGACCTGCCAATACTCTTGAATGTTTCCAGTGTAGAGTAGTGCAGGGGATAAGTGAAACTTAAAAAGGTCAGTGTTCTTGCTCTTGTGTTACTGTAGACTAATCAAGTTGACCTGCTGATACTCTTGTGTGATTTCAATGTGGTAGTGCTAATGGTAAGTGAAGCTTTAAAAGGGCATGTAAATCAAAGCCACTTCCCTTGCTAACTACAGGGTTGTGTCCACCCAAATTTCTTCAATATAATGATGTGTTGTTTTCTCTATTTGTCCATGTGTGTGCCACAAAAATAATGGGTTATGATAGCACGTCAAAGTAAGCTGTCACTGGAAACTCACAGATTTATAACTGTTGTCTTCCTGTTTAGTTTCTGCTCCCACAGTGTATTCTGTGAACTGTGCAGTATAAATTAGAACAAATGATATAGAAATGTAGATAACATTTGAGCCAATCAACACGGTGTCAACATGGAAAATTGACTGTACAAATGTTTTGTCATCCACCATTGCAGTTTGTAAAGTATTGGAAGGGTGATAGTGCACATTCCCCTGCTGATGATCAAGCTACTTCCAGTGGAGAACAGGAAATAATGGAATCAAGGAGTCAGAAGGTTGGAATATATGTGCATGTACTGTAGCTAATATATTTTTTAAGTAACTGTGTAGTGTGTAGTTGACTTGTGTACATGTCACTCATAAACTGCAACAAAGATTTAAGAAACATAGCAACAGAAGCCCAACTAAAGAAAGATGGAAAAGATAAACCCTTCTTATTACATATACAATATAGAAGTGTTCTCAGTATGATAGTTACTACACACTGGCATTCCTTGTCAAATTCATTTAAGTCACCCATTTTTAGTTTATGTTTCTGACAAGGTAGACAATATTTAGCTGAACATAGCAAGTCAAAATAATTTTTAGTTTGGAGGAAAGATTGAATGGTGAACCCAGACAGCTTCTCCAACAGGGGCTTGCTCTTGTGTGACTGCTTACCAGAAGCAGCGGATAGCACAGAGTGATCAATGATACTCCAGTAAGGCAGATTTTGGCTGCTGTCAATAGCAATATTTCCTCTTGGTAATCTTGCCTTTAAATGCTGGTGTCCATGTTTGGTCAGTCCTCTGACCAACTGAGATAGTGTAATTCAATTACTAAGTCAATGTACAAACATGTTCACTGAATTATTACAAGACAGCAAACCATTTATAGTAAAATGAAAATACAATTTGCATTTTCCAGAAAACTGACAGCAGTAGTATGTCACAACCTGTGGGTCAGACAAATTTAGATGTCAACAACAATGAAAGCACAGATTCTACTAAAGAAACAAACAAGGTAAGTTACCATACTGTAGGCATGGCAGTGGCAATAATGTATCGATCGGCACTCAATGGCATGTCTCCAAAAAGTAGTTGACTCTCGACGAAGATTTTGATCAAATGTCAATTGAGTGTCAACTGAGGTGTCAATCAAGTATTGATGAAATGTGGAACAAGGGTCAATTGAGGGTAGATTGGAGGCATCAATCAAGGGTATTGATGGGCTCTCGACTGGGGATGCCTTTAGTACACATGATCGTATTGGCTTAGAAGGTCATTAATTTTCTTAAGTTGATGATCTCTACAGGTGAATATTGAGGCAAGTCACTCATCACTACTGGAAGAAGCAAAGGTGGACAAGATTACTACAGCCATGGAGGAAGAGGAAAGAGCTCTTCACAAAGAGACTTCAAGAGAACAGCAGCAAATGATGGATAAGGTAGAGAATTGTAGATCTATAGCTAGTTTCCAATTGCTTTCTTGTTTATGACCTAATAGGCATAAAAATTTTCAGTCCTGTACATGTAGCTGTTCATTTGTGTTCCTCCTTTCAGCATGTGTTCTGTGACTGGCTCATCTTACTTCACTTAGCATTGCGTCGGATAACCATCAGGGATGTAGAGAAGAAAACACTAAGGCTGGCTCATTAACAAGCCCAGCAAGCTTTTCTTGCTTTGGCAATTCCAAGGTTTACCCAAGCCTAGTGACGTCTGTGAGTCACCCTGCAAATTTGAGTGGTTTACCCTTTTATCCGGTGGAACAAACTTTGTCAGCAGTGAAATTAAAATTTGTCTACTTTAGATTGAATTTTGCTACTTTTGACAAACCCTTTGCACAATTTGTAATATGTTGGTGCAACATAAACTTTATCTTAAAATACAACTTTTAACCAGTGAAGGTGGGCCCTTATCTATTGTTTTTGTAGTATTAAATATTGTTTCCATGTGGTGTCATGTACACTGTATGTGCATCTCAACCCAGGCTGAAAAAGAGTGGAAGAGTGTGGAGGATAAGCAAAGATACCTTCGGCTACAGCTATTATTAGAGAAGTCAAACATCTACTGTCAGTTTCTTCTTGAAAAAATGGAAAGGCAGAAATTGGAGGCAAGAAAGCAACAGGAAAAGACAGCACATCAACTGCAGAAGAAACAGAACAAAGAAAAGGACTTAATGCAAATGGTAATTCTCATTTGTGCTAAAAGACCAAGTAGCAGTTAAATTGATTTTTGTGAGACTAAGTGCCTCTACTTCATTTTGGGTACAAGCCTAGGCGCAAAAATTTCCCACAATATTTCAGGAGCTAACATTTTCCCTTGGCGACTGGCAAGATTCTGGTCTTGTCAAAATTTTGTCTTTTATTCTGCATGAACCAAAAACTGTTGGTAACTGTATTATGCTTACTTGAATTTATTATTTATAGAGACTAAAGTTAACAACAGCAATCTAGGGATTTATTGCAGAATGTTTTACATTGAAGTAAACTAATATTTGAGAATAAAAGAGATTGGGAGAGGCATTGAGAGAGTTTTACGAGACAAGCAGTAAACCAGTGCAAACCTCGGAAACAGTTGTTGTATATGCCACAATGCTGTCAAACATTTTCATGGTAAAATTTTCTGCTGTTTGGTATTTTGCAGGTTCCTCAGGCAGAAGGCCGAGTAACTAGAAGGGCTCTGAAGAAATTGAATGGCTCTGTTGAGTGTGTGCAGAGTGAGAAAGCCACCTCTAACAAAAGGAAATCTACTGGTAAAAAAAGAAAAATGGAAGATTCGTCAGCCTACATGATATCAGAGTATCTTGACAAAGAGGTAATCATAACTGAATGATTACTGAGTTTTCAAATCATTGTCGAAATTAATTAAACTTCAATTCTCACGCGCTGCTGGGAGCATAAGAACATAATTGTCTCACAATGACACAAAAAGTGGCTAGAGAATAATTTCACCTCAACTTAACACATTCTACAAGTACTTCATGGGTGGGTGGGTGGGTGGGTGGGGCATGTCAGGCAATGGCAGATGGCAAAACAAAAACTGAAACCTTACACAAGCCACGTGACCTGAAACCCCCCTGCACACGGCCTCGCGCACGATGTTGGTACACAAATCAAAATTAGCAAAAATTGGACAAAAATTTGTTGTAAAAATGCTGTAATTCGCAGGTTATTAAATTTTTCTCTTCAAATGAGCACCATCTTGTAGTGATTTTCATGTAGTTTCCTTCCATCTTAGCTACGTCTTCAAAAGTGCTTGTGCCTTTCTTGTAAGGAGTCAAAATAACAGATACTCTCCATTCTAAACTTCGCAAGTAATGTAACACATTGGGCCGTATTTTACACTACTCTTATCGTGCTCATTGCAGGCGTGATTTGCCATTTTTGCCAAAATTGCGCACGTTACTCTTTTTGGTGGTTTTTGCTTTTGCCTTTCACGCCAGCAAAAAAATCATGCCCTTTTGTCTTTTTGTGTATTTTGACTTCATTCCGAGTCCAGCAAAATGATTTGGTTCAATTCCGAATGTAAGCTTCCTTAACCATATTACAGGTTTCACAGGGCAAAGCGTTGTAAATTATTGTCAAATGAGCTCTTTTGAATCACAAAAATGGAGAAAAGCATTCTCCAGAACACAAACTATAAGAGAACGTCACATGCTAGTAAGTTACGCTATCAGAGAGCTTACCAAGGATTTGGAAACGATGTAACTTTAAATACGTGTTTGTCCAATTTTTGTCCAGCCTGGTGATCTCAAGAAAATGACAGAATGAATCATTTTGTGTCTTTTTAATTTCTTTTTACACGCACTAAGCAAGCATCTTCCCTGCATCTTCTTGTCCATTTCATGTTCATTGTGGCCATTTTGTTATTGACAGCAAGCTCAAGTTATGTCCAAATAAGGAAATGGATGGACAAGTCGAGTTAGGCTGGGATTGAAAGGTTTCCACATGAAGAGAAACAAACCAAAACATCGATGTCTTGGTTGACCTCTTAATCTTATGGTGTTGTTCACCAACTTTGCGGAAGGATCGGCGAGGATAACGGTAAAAATATAGGGGAAAAATGGCACTTTTTGCCCAACCTGTTTTCGGAATTTTGTTATTGTTCTTCTAATAAATCTCTTTCAGACAGAAAATTTTGCTTTTTGGGGTGCACATAGATGGAAGTTTAATTCTGCGAATTAAGAATGACGAGAAATAATAAGAAATCTAGCGTGAGACCGTTTTTGTTACGCAATTGTACAACAACATTGTGCGCAAAGCCTAGCCTCTTTCTCAAAGTGAGTCTTCGCTTATATGGTTGATATGGAAGCTGAGGGTAACTTGGAAATGGGCTATTGCACAGAATTAACCAGAAATTGGGCTGTTCTCAGTCAATCAATTTTTTCACAGCTACAAATTAAATTATTCATGAAATGGGCACTGTATCTTTACATCTGAAAGGTAGAAGATTATCCTGGACATTCATTTGCTAATAAACATGTGAAGCAGTATCTGGCAAACTCATACCGTATATACCTGTGTATTAGTCGATCCCGTGTATAAGTCGACCCCCAATTTTTGAGGACAAAAACTAGATTTTCTTAATTTCCAGGTGAGAATTTCTTGGAAAACTTATCTTGTATTTCTTAAAATTATCTTTCAGCTACCACAGATATGTAAACAAATCACAGCATGTTTCAACGTGCAGTTTTAA